GTTATTTGAGCAGATCCTCGCTGTGGCTTAGTGAAGGGACTCAATCACCACTGCCCAGCGATATGCCTCACTTTCGTCCCCCATCATCCCCCCTTCATCTTTTTATCTGAGGAAAGGAAATGAAAGGATGGTATCTGGTATTCTCCGCGTCCTCGGTTTAGGAGATGGAGAGGAGCGGACATTTTCTTTTAGGCTTTAACTTGCTGATGAAAACATGCGGCCTATAAACCTGCGCTCCGAAAAGAAATACACTGGCAATTTATTGACTGTGGATGTGCACTGACTCAAAAAGGAAGTAGTTATGAGGTAATTTGTGTTGTGACAGCTGCATTTATAACTCTGGAGTAATCAAGCTTTTACACATTTTGGTTAAAGGAACACCATTTTTCCTCATTTTCTGATTATCTTCTGGGCTTTTTCTCTTGTCTCCACATTTTTCTTGGAGGTTATTGCACACAGCCACTGGAGATAATGCTTTTGTTTTTCTGTGTACGTGTACAGTATGCGGTTAATGTAGGAAAATGTTTTTTAATTTGCCGGTAGAAATGGGTTTTGGGTGTGGAGAAGAGCAAAAATGGGACAGACAGAAAGGCTTGAGAAGTTTGCAGTCCACAGTAGGTAGATAAAGGGAGGGCCCAGTGACAGATGTCAGGGCTCGGTCATGCATCATTTATTAGTCGGTAAATTTCAGGGGAATCTCAGCGTTCGCTGGTTTCTCTACAAGAGGCAGAGTAAATGTACCCTGTCCGACTACTTTGGTGAACCTTAAAAGGTGACTCACACTATTTTGCATCCTTGACAGTTTTGTCCTAAACTAGGAGAAACTATTGCAATGCCTTTATGTCAGGCTGGAATTGGACTTCTGTAAAGACACACAACAAGAGGTTGAGGTTGTGACAAGAGGCCGGACTGATACAGGAATAAAGCAAGGTTAAGGCTTTACAGCTTAAGTTGGGAGCTCTGTTAGGGCATCATTCGGCACCGTAATGATTCATCTGAATGATAACATCAGCACATTAGCACAAGTATAAAATCCCATGTCTACTGTATGATTTAAAAGCACCAACATTAGTTAACAAGGATTAAACCTGTCTGTGTGACCAAATCTGGTGTATTCACATGACAAATTTAAGTGCTTATGTTAATTAATGTGCGCTGTCCCCTTTAAATAAACATAACTGAGGAGCTGAGCTGTGTGCCATTAGTTTTACAGGGTTTTAGGGGTACTGGAGGAGAATTTCTAGAATCCTCCTTGTTCCTGTGAGCTGATAGGAAGGCAACAGTCAGTCAAGTGACAAATAACCACATAGCCAAGGTATGCAGAAGAGAATCTCTGAACAGGTCATACCTTGACGCAGATGGGCTACAGCAGCACGAGACCACACTTGGCTAAGGACAGGAAACTGAGGCTACAGTTTGTACATGCTCACCAAAATTAGAAAATAGAACAAAAAATGTAATCTGGTAAGAAGAGTCTCAATTTCTGCTGCAAAATTCAGGTGGTAGTGTCAGAATTTCATCTAAACAACATAAAAGCATGGATCCATCCTCCCTTATAACAGTTCGGGCTGGTGTTGGTAGTTTAACGCTGTAGGGGGATGTTTTCTTGGAAGACCTTAGTACCCTTAGTACCAACTGAGCATTATTTAAACCCCACAGTCCACCTGAGTGTTGCTGAATGTGTCCCTTTACGACCACAGTGGATCCATCTTCTGTTGGCTGCTTCCGACAGAATGAAAAACAATGCCACAAAGCTCAGATCATCTCAAACTGGTTTCCTGAACACGAGTTCACTGTACTCAAATTACCTCCACAGTCACCAGGTTTAAGTCCAATAGATGTGCAGCTACTGTGCGATGCTATCATGACAACATGGACAAAAAACCTGAGGAATGTTTCCAGCACCTTGTTGAATCTGTCTATGTGAAGTTCAACACATATACAACACATCCAAAAAGATATAGTCCGCTGAGTTTTAGTGTAACTGAGACGTAATATACACAATAAAAAGGTCAAATATATATATTAAGAAAGATAGAAAAAGATGGCTGAAAGAATTAAAAAAGAGCTCTTACTTTGACAGTGTCGCCTCTCGTCAGGACGTCCCAGAGTGTGCTCTGAAACTTGGAGAGATCCATCCTGTGACCTCTGTCCAACAAAGCCTGGGAGTGAGAGGAAAATCAAAAAGGCGAATCAAAGCGTGACAAACATGAGTCTGAGCACCCGAAAACAGCTTTACAAAGACATTCAATGTGCAACCGTATCATATAAAATAGTTGAAATCAGCCCACATTACCAGCACTCAGTATATGAAGTTCCTAATAAATAAAAAAAAAATTCAATATGACGGGCACCGCAAATATGCACATCTCCCCCTAAAGCACATATGCATTCTGACAGACCTCAGGTTGCACACAAGCTGGTAATCTTGCATCTGTTGTGCAGTGTGCCTGGTGGCCCCACAGGTATAGGCTTATAAAAAGTGCCTTACATAACTGATAATAAACTGCACATCATCCATCTCCCATTCAGCTCACCTCCCAATAATCCCCACTGCCATATCTGCTTATCTATTCAAGTCACCCTCTCATTAAATCAGCTTTTACAGCCAAATGGAAGAAGTTTACTACTCATAGAAGTCAAATACCATTCATCATGAGGAAGGCTGTAGTTATACAGATATAGACTGCATGTTTTAATTCACTGAAGGACAAACGCATCCTTCCTCCTATCTCAATAAACATAGACTCCTGCAGAAATAAATAAATAAAATAAGGTGGGGGGAAAAAATTGACAAGGGAATTAATCTGCTGCCTTTTGCCTGCCGAAATGGAAGTCAGTGAGGCGGCGCATACCAGTGGGTGCCCATCAGTCACAAGACCTTGTGCAGGCCCCGAAAACAGCTGAATGTGATGCCACTGCACATTGGGAGGTAAAGGATGGTGACAGAGAAGTTGGTACAGCTTTCAGTGTTTATTCATCTGAAACAGTGTCCCCTGGAAGCCATTTTGGCAGCAATGTATCACAGCAGGCACTGACCTTTAGATGCTATGCACAATTAAGCTAAGCTAATAAACACAACTGCGGATCCGGACTCGTGGAACGGAAGGCAGGTGGCTGTGAATCACGCTGGACACGTGAATGGCATAAAGCTCACTTGGGTGGTGTTTTCAGAGCGAAAACTGAAATGTGTTTGTTATGGAGGAAATGAGCTGAATTTTGAGCTTTGTCTGGTGCTGTAGAGGCTTTCTGATGCTCCGGGTGGCCTCTATGCAGAGTACAGAATTGTCCACGCGCTCAACTGAAGCCGTCCTTCGCTGAAACAACATACAGTAACCTTGCCTTGACAGCTTAGTTAGTTAGTTAAGGTTTTAGTTAATGGTTCTTGTAAGAACTGCATCGGGCTGTCTAGACATTAGTATTGTGTAAGAAAAGGAAACCTGGCAAGTCTTTTTTTTCTCTCAACTTTTTGGCTTCAATAATATTCATATTGTCAGTTACCTCATCATATTAACCACGACAAACAGATGCACTGACAAAGTGTACACGTGCAGGAACACAAGTGCCTGACTTTTGCCATTTTCAGAAGTTGCCCTCTCTTGGCACACACCAGGTAATGATCTTCTACAGAGGGATTTTCACCACAGGAAACACTATATTTGATCTACGTGAAAGCGTTTCCTGCAAAGCATGTAGGAGGGGGTGCACCTGCTACCAGATCCCTGGTACAAAATCTCCAGGTATGCACGTGTAAGAATAGCGCAGGTAGCAGTCAGATTATTCACAGCACACAATTAGACAAGTGTGGGGACATCATTTTTCCTGCTTCTTACAGGAAAAATGATGTCCACACACTAGGTGGTCGAGGTGGTACTCCTGTCTGAACTAAACACAGTTGAAAAGAAAAATTTACTATCATGTGCAACATGTCTTCTTCTACTTCTTCTTTCAGCTAATCTCTTTAAAGGTAACCACAGCGGATCATCTTCCTCCATCTCACCTTTTCCTCAGCATCCTCCTCTGTCACACCAACTCTCAGCGTGTCCTCCGTCACCTCCTCTGAGGTCTTCCTCTTTTCCTCCTGCCTGGCAGCTTCACATCCTTTGTTCAATATATCCACTATCCCTCTTCTGCACATGTCCATCTCAGCGTTGCTTCTCTAACCTTTTCCCCAAACTGCTTGGCCTAAACTGTCCCTCTAATGTACTCATTTCTAATCTTGTCCATTCTGCTTGCTCCCAATAAAAATCTGAACACCTTCAGTTCGGCCTCCTGTCTTTCTGTCGGCGCCTCCGTCTCCAAACCACACGTGACATCAGGTCTCACAACCAACTTGTAAATCTTCCCTTTTATCCTGCTATCCTTCTGTCATAAATCATCCTTGACACTCATCTCCACCCTGCGTGCCTCTCTTCATAACCTCTCTTGTGCGCAGTACATTGCTTTGGATGGTTGACCCTAGGTAATTAAACTCAACCACTGTTACACCTGTCTCCCTCTCATGAACACACACTTTCTGTCTCATTTCATCTGACTTTCATTCCTCTTATCTCCAGAGCATACCTCCACCTCTCCAGGCTCTCTTTCACCTGCTTCCTACTATCACTACAGATCACAATGCAATCTGCAAACATAATAGTCCACAGAGACTCCTGTCTGTCACTCTTAGAGGACAGGACAGGAGTATGAGGACTCCTGTCCTCATACGTGTCCTGCAATACCCTCACATACCTCTCTGCCACTCGTGACCTCCTCACGCAGTACCACAGTTCCTCTCTTGGCACTCGATCATATGTTTTCTCTAGAGCTCAGCTCCTTCTGACCATTTCTATACTTCTCCATCAACTCTCTCAAAGCAAACATCACCTTTAGTGCTCTTTCTCACTGATCGTGACCTCTTTCGCAACCTAGCTTCAACAATCTTTCCCGTATCTTCATGGTAAGGTTCATCAGCTTTATCTCTTTGTAGTTCCTACAGCTCTGCACATCCCCCCCTGTTCTTTAAACTCAGTACTAGTACACTGCTTCTCCAATCCTCAGACGTCCTCTCACTCTCCAGGACTGTGTCAAACAATGTGTTCTCTGACCTCTCTCCTACACAGGTATGACCTACAAGTGAGGTAGAATATTCTGACCTGAGAGTCTCGACATTTTCAGAAGTTCACGTGTAGAAACATCTGGATCCAGGGTTCTCAAAGAGTGGCGTCTAGGCCATCAGTAGCTCCCAGTAACAACTTATGAGCCCCATGATTGCATCAAAGTAGGAATGCACATAACATTTATCCGCGCTCTATATGCCATCACGTCGTAGCGCGTAATCAAATTCAGGGAAAGTATCTTTCCACTTCAACACCTTTCCATTAGTCATCACGACAGAGTAACCTTGAAACGTAATAGCGAGACGCCCATTACATTTCCTTCCACCAAATACAGCTGCACAAAGAAATGTAAGATTCATGGTTATGTGAAAATTCGGCAACAGTTCTGAGAAATAAGCTCCACACTTCATATAGTCAAACGAACACACGGGCTGATGAATCAGTATGCAAAGATATTGCCTTACAAGAGAAAAGAGCTCAAATAACATGGTTACATACTTTGCTATGTTATTTGATAGAGCCAGCCGATCCCAGAAGCACAGTTCTACAAATACCATTTATATCTACCTGGCAAGAGAATATTGGGTTTCTAGTCAAAGTTATGAAATGTATCACCTTGCAAATATGTGAAAAGAGCACAAACAAAAAGATGAGACATCCATTACCATGAACCCACACAACTGAAAATATTACCACTCCCACGCCGTATTAGTCCGTATAAGGCATAGAGGATTGTACACATGCATGAGTAGAAAGTCACACAGGTAATAAAGCTGCAGCTACTTTTGTTTATTTGCCTCATGTACGAGTCCCTCTCCCTTCATTTAGGCTTTTATCCTTT